TGTTTGGAACTTCCACTTTGTTGCATTAAGTTTGTTCTTTATTGAAAAAATTTAATCTTGTATAATAATTACTTCACGCGCTTGCTTTGATGATCATTCGACTTGTTTGAAAGATTGTTGGCTTATGCTTTCCCTTTGGTCGATCGAAACCTTGTTTCGATTGGTTAATCTTCCTCTTATTCTTCTCTTTAGGATCTCTTTAGAGCCTTTCTTTCTTGATCCCCTGCGGAGTCGGAGGTCTGCACAACACATTGGAGTACTATACAAATTTGCACCGTTACTCTGTCGATTTCAATTTCCGCACTGTACTTTGATGTTAGAGAAGGGATGAGAGTGGAGAATTATTACACTTATTTTGATTATTTTAGATACCTATGCATGGAATAATCATCTCTATCTACATACTATAGTGTTCCCCGATCCCCAGCCGAGTCGATCTTTAATTTGCATTCCTTTTTTCTTTGATCAATCACCATTTCCTTGGTTCTAGATTATCATTTTTTGTTTAAACACCTTCTCTTGGTTAATCATAGTCCATCTGTAAAAACCAATTCTCTTCTTCCCCGACGAAGTCACAATCCTTTTTCTTTGGTTAATCATAGTCTGCCTGCTAAACACTGAATCCCTAGCAGAATTTGCAACCTTCTTTTAGCTCTGCTCCCTTTTTCGTTGGTTAACCACTGCCTGTCAGTTAAAACACCAATTTGATCCTTTTTCTCAATTAATCACAGAACGTCTGTTAACATACTGAGCTTCTTTTGAGTTAATCATCGTCTCTTGGTTAATCACTCATTATTTTAGGTTAACCACAATCCTTCTATTAAAATACCGAATCCCCCAACGGTTAGCAACCTTTCTTTGGTTCTAACACTCGCACCTTTGGGTTAGTAACCTTCTTTTGGTTCAAATACCCTTTCTTCGGTCAAGTACTGCTTGTTTAGTCAGTTTACCGAACTACTTTGGGTCACAACTTTCGTTTGGTTCCACACCCGTTCTCTTGTGTCACAACCTTCGCTTGGTTCCACACCCATTCTTTGGACTACCAACCTTCACATGGTTCCACACCCGTCATTTTAGGTCACAACCTTTTCTTGGTTATACACCCTTCCTTTTTGGTTAATCACCATCCTTCGCTTAAAAACCAACTCCTTTCTCTTTTCGGTTAACCACTATTTATCAGTTAACACACCGAGTCCCCCAGAGAGTCAAGCATCTTCTCTTAGTTCAATACTCTCTTTTTCTGGTTGATCATAGTCTATTTGATAAAACTGATTTCTTTCTTTACCTGCATAGTCAATCTATTTTCTCCCTTTTCTGGTTAATCACAGTCCGTCTGTTGACACCAATCTTTTTTCCCTCAGAGTCGTAATTTTCTCTTTCTTCGATTAATCACAGAGTGCCTGTTAATATACCGAATCTTCCAATGTATCTTAACCTTATCTCGATTCAATTCCTTTGATCCTTTAATCTCTTGGTTCCGACACCATTCCTTTGCATTTCTTTCTTGGTTTTAACACCATGTCTTTTTTCTTCCCCAGTAGAATCTTTCTACCTTCTTTCGCTATTGGTTTTGACACCGGTTTCCTTTTCTTTCTCCGTCCTAGTTCCTCGAACTACGTAGGCTCTAACTTCCTCATTGGACTGTGAGGATATGTAGGCACAAGATCACAAGATCTTGGAGATCTACCTTCTACTTTCTTTCATCCTTTTTCCGTCTTCTCCTTCTCTTCCATGGTTCCATGAACTACGGAGCTCTGAATTCCTTATTGCACTATGAGGATACGTAGGCACAAGGGTTTCAATCCTCCACGAGCCCTTTCTTTGTTTTTCCTTTTTCCTTTCTCGTTAGCTAGTAGCCTTTAGATAGATAACCCATCAAAGCCTAAAAGCAAGCAGAACGGTTCTTGTCAAGTACGAAGAATGCATGAGGCGTTGAACAACTCAATCCATGAGGCTTAGGAAGACTAGCATCATGAAGTTTAAATTTGTTTATGTTTAAATCTGCAAAATTCAGGAACAATAAAATTAATAAGGTTTTAAAAAAGCAATAAAGAGCACATGTAAGCATTACCCAAGAAATTATAAATTTGTTCTGGGTCATCAGTCATATGTAGTAAGTCCTGAACTTTCACTACACGAAAGACATCCAAAATGGTCAAATCCTGAGTTTCTAGATCGTTTAACTTGTCATAGTCGAAACCGGAAACCGACAATAGACTATCCAACCAGTAAATCAGAAAACGGTAATTCCCGTACAACACATACATAACCTGGGACACCTTTTCCCACTCTTGACTCGAAGGAACTTGTCCTTAAAACCCTTATAATTGGTAGTATAAACTTGAAGGAAGCTCTTTCCAGGAATCTCGCTGAGGGAGACCTTACCTCCTTTTTCCGCTCCTTTCAACTCAAAGAACTAGAAAAACAAACCTAAGGTAGGCGTTATATCCACTGCATCACAAATGATTTCAAAAGCTTTGATAAAACCCCAATCATTTGGGCGTAAATAAGAAGGGATATGTTTAGGGTTTTAAGAAGATCAAACTCAAAATCGGTAAATGGGATACGAACTTTAAAATCCTCAATTACCCCTAAGTAGAAATAGAAATATTCATCAAACAATCCCTTGGGCCCAGTAATAAAAACCCTCTCACCGACCATACAAGTCTCTAGATAACATCTTCCTCGTTCCTGGTGGAGAAAACTTGATTATTAAAATGAAACTTTAAGATGTAGGTGTCGTCGATGACAGTGTAGTCATAACTTAGAACCTCTTTGTCTATCAAAGATCTTGTTTCCTCCAACAGAGTGTTTAAGAAACCTGATGACGAAGACTCCGAGTCAGTGTTACTATTAGGTGAATGGATTTCACCATAAACTTCTCTAATGATCAGATCAAAATTCGTTCGACTCAATTGACCCTCACACTCCCTCATGCGTTCATTCCAAATTCTATTTCTCTCATGGGTAGTAAGGGGAATAATGGATTCTCTCGAATGGTCATAAACTCGTATCAAAGATATGATAAAAGAATAAAAAGAGAGTGAAAAGAGAAATAAAATGATACTTGGGGCTTGAGATGGTAGAAGGATCGAGTGGTTGATGAAGCAGAGAAATTTGTCAGCAACACTTGAGAGGAAGATCACTAGCTTTGGTAAATAAGCAAAGTGAGAGAAGAGTCCCTTTATTTAAAATACATTTGCAGTGGTCAAGAATTTGTATCGAACAAGAGTAATGACGACAAGTGGGAGTTGTAACGCCCCAGACTACTTTCAGGATTATCGACTAACCCCACAAATCAACACAAGTCTTTTTAGCATGATTTGTCCTCACTCACATGCTTTCCGAGAAACTTCCCAGAAGGCCACCCATTTCAAAATTGCTCCAAGTCAAGCACACTTAACTGTGGATTTCTTATGGAACAGGCTACCGAAAAGAAGATGCATCTTATTAGTATAAGTAGTACCAATTAATCCTTATAAGCCTTCATTCAACCATGCAGTCCCATACCTGCACAACCTCACAATCCCTCTCATTTCGATGTGAATTTGATTTTCCCTATAAGATGCTAGGAGTGTCTCATTATCATGCCTCATGCACCGATAACCACTACCTCGCCCTCGGGTGTTACACGTAACCACTCTCCGCTCTCTTCGGCCTCGGGTGTTACATGCCCACCAGCTTCTGCTTGGTTCATTCCCGAACCACATCATACTAGGAGAGGTCTACTTTTATACCATTTTTAACACCCTAGACTGCATTCAGAATTACCGAATGACCCACAAACCAACACGGGTCTTTTCAGCATGCTTTGTCCTGACTCACACACTTTCCAAAAAACTTTTCGGAAGGTCACCCATCCCAAAATTGCTTCAAGTCAAGCACACTTAACTGTGAAGTTCTTATGGAACAGACTACCGAAAAGAAGATGCATCTTGTTGGTATGGTAGTATCAATTAATCCATATAAACCTACACGAGTTCCCTTAAAAACCCTCATGATGAGAAGAGAGAAAAATGTGTCATCATTAAAATGAATGACACCCAATAACTCGCCGAATAGGATGTCGACTTAAGGAAGAAGGTATTTCAAGATTATCTTGTCTGAACACTTCAATTCGATTGGATCTTGTCATCGGGGGTTTATGTACATACCAAAATTTCCAAAGGTCGAGTTTTTGTAAACTGAGTACGAAAAAGCAGGAGGATCGGATAATCATAGCCTTACACAAGTCGGACCCGATTATGGTTCACTTAAATACAAAACAAACACGTCGAAACCGGTCTCATAATAACTCTGACATGAGAACAAGTCGGACCCGATCTGTGAACGATGTTAAGAAACCATGTGAACAGTCACAATGGACAATTATAAAATATTTCCATGCGAGTTATATTAATCGAGAGGAAAAACATTATTTGATAATTATAAAAGGGCGGCGAAATGTTATCTAGAGCCACCTTAATGGCCAATATGAAGAAGCATTCCTTTAAAGATCATTAATAAATGAAGGAGTGTAAAAAAAATTTCACATAAAAATAAGAACAATTAATACCACCTTATTAAATAGGACGATTGTGATCTCTCTAATCGATTTCAAAAAAAAATTTCAAATAGTTTTTAGCAATGAAGAATATTCAATTCTATTTTTGTTTTTTATGTTTAAAAGAAATGCCAAATAAATAAAGATAGGCAAACAAGGATGAAATGAATGATAATAAGCCGACTTTTGCAGTGCGGCCAATCATCTACGTGGGGATGATTCCCGAAACGTGGCGATCAAACATACATGGTTGCTTTGCCTATTACGAAACTGGTCAACATTTCATCAACCATCACACGTGTCACTCATTCACTCTCTATCTCCTTCTTCACCTATATGCTTTTGCTTCCTTCTCTAACCACTCTCATGCTGACTAATGTCATACTACCTTCTCTTTATTCTCTCCTCTTCTCTCACGACGGTTACAACCATACCCTCTCTCTCTCTCTAAACCGATATGGAATCAGAGAAACGCTATGCTTCAGCTTCTTCTTCTCTCACCCCTACTTCTTCGTCTTCATCTTCCTCTTCGTCTCCGTCCGAGGAGATTGAGGCGGCTGAGACTCTAGCTTACCTTGCGCGATTAGCAATGCGCCGCCACACTACTCATTCCACCGATAATTGCTGCACCAAACGATTCGACCTCGACTCACATATTCCTCACTCGGATCTTCCTCCGCCTAGTAGGGTACTGTAATTTTATTGTTTAATTTAAATTACTATACTTCAACTTATTATATACTATTGTGGATTTGATGTTGAATTATATTATATCTTGTCAATTACTACGCATAAAAGTATGCATATACTATATATATATATATATATATATATATATATATATATATATATATATATATATATATATATATATATATATATATATATATATATATATATATATATATATATATATATATATATATATATATATATTTGGATAATTAACCTATTCTTAATTACCTTAAGTAGACGATTAATAACTATAAGATATCACAACTATTAACAATGATTTTCATGTATGTATATAGTTGAGCATAAATTGTGGTTAATTAATAAATATTTTGTATATTTGAAAATTTGAAAATCATATACATTTGAATACAATTTGGATTACTAATGGAAATAGTGTATATTTTCAACATCTAAAAATTATGGTTAATGGCGTTTAAAATTATTTTAAATTTGATGGTTAATGTGCTGTAATACTTTGGTATATTTATTAACAATGAACTAAACGTGATTAGTTATTGATTTAAACTGCGTTAACCTTCAATAGAGTTGGAACATTTTATGGAGGAATTTAGAAATTATTTAATTTATGGCAGGGCCAAGGTGTTGCAGGTCAGCAGCTAGATGAGAAAGTATCGTGCACTTCATCCATAGAAACAGAAAGGAATCAGCAAAATGACCGCTTAAGAAACATCAAGGTGGAGCAGGATGCTGATTTATCTAAGACTAGTCACTGCAACAAGTCAAGACGTAATTTAACAGAGGTATAAGAGAGGGTGAAGCTTCTTTTACTTTGATTCCTGGTGGTATTGTAATTTACTGTGTTTTTGTTCAGGAAGAAAAAGAAGCACGGAGGATACGAAGGGTATTGGCAAATAGAGAGTCCGCTAGGCAGACAATTCGCCGCAGGCAGGTATTTATATTGGCAGAAGTTCACCAATTTTTAGGTTTTCTTATGGACATTCCAAAATCTAAACCAAATTTGCACCAGCACATGTTTGGTGTGTTTTGTTGACAAGAAGTCTTTACTTCTATACTTTTTTCTTGACCACATAGCTTAATTTTATTGTAATCGACAGTTCCTCTGGTTATAGATTATGAGAGTCTAAATTTTTAATACTATTAAAAGCAAATTTATATCATGTAAAGGAAGTATTAATTCTATATATGTAGCAAAACCTATGAAGCAAAACTTTCAGATTAGTAGTTTCATTTCTATACTGTCTAGTTTAAAGACACATTCTCAAAGGACCAAAAGACTCTAAAATCTATAGTTTAAAAGCTTACATAATCATTACCGTAGTCTTCATTCCCAAATTATTTACCTGAACAAGTAAATTTTTTCATAAAAAAGTTTAGGACTTCAGTACAAGAAAAAAGGCGTAATCAATCTTCTATTAGTCCCTAAAGTATACACCAATTTATCATTGTTTTGGCTGATTGATTTCTCATTCGAATATTGAGAGGATTTTTTTTTCTTCTTTATAAAATGCTTCAGGCTCTGAGTGAGGAGTTAAGCAGAAAAGCTGCCACCTTAGTGCTGGAAAATGAAAACCTAAAGAGAGTATGTTATTATTCAATAGTTGTTCCTTCTTATAACGAAGTTACCTTTTTTGTCTTCCTTTTATACTTTCTTCTTCTTTATTCTACTTTTCTTATTTGTATGGTGCGTCTTTTTTAGATACTATTGCTTCTCACTTAATTTCATCTCATTGATATTTTTCTTATCATTCACTCTGTTGTGACATTTCTGGTGAAAAGAAGAAGGAGCTGGCTTTGAAAGAGTATCAGTCTTTAGAGACTACAAATAAGCTCTTAAAAGCACAAGTAAGATGTTTTGCTAGGGAAAAAATTCTTAAGTTTGGCATAACTCTTCTTCTTGTTTGCAAAAGTAAATAATTACAGGAAAATTGACATTTGCTTATGTTTGTAGGTATCTAAGTCAATAAACACGAAAGTGGAAAAAACTCCTGTTGCGCAGGAGTTATCTATGGCCGATGTAGCACCTATGTCTGGTAATAGTCCATGGTTTCATTATAACCATTTTCCGGTTAGACAATTATTTTGGCCCTCCATCTTTCAATCTTCTAATCAAGTTCATACACCATTTAACTCCGCCATTCCATCACATGTATACATACCATGTTCTTCTGAGTCTGAACCTCCTCACAAGAAAAATAACCTTATAAATGACAATCAAACACAAAAGCCATTGTACATGTTTCCATGTCCTTGGTTATACCCTCCTCCAGATATTGGAAATGGACAGCCACCGGCTTCCAGATGCATAGAAGATAAACAAGATAATCTTCCTCCAGATAAACAATGCAGTACTAGTTTATCCTTAAATAGAGCAGGAAATGGGAGTTATCATGCAACTCTACCTATCAAATTGAAAACAGAACCTACTGACCGGACCGAATCCAGATCTAGTAGTGGCCCTGGTCACACCACTCCAAGTTTTTCTTTGGATGGAATTGAGCAGAAAAAAAGATGTCACAATATAGAAAAGTTCCATAGACCTGCATTTGATTGTAATAGACATGCTTTTGTAGTCAAGCAAGAACCCGAGCTTCAGTTAAATTTGGCTTCCAACACCAAGGCATCTTCAACAGCTTCTGGTATCACAGCTTCTTCACTGGAAAAGAAACAAGAACAGTTCATATGTAAAGGAAAAAATCTAGCGGATGCAGTTGCTGCGGCAGAGGCACGAAAGAGGAGAAAGGAACTAACAAAGTTAAAAAGTAACCAAAGCCGCCGGATGGAGTGTTGATTTCTCAGTGAACTTGATTAAATGTTCAAAAGGTGCAAAGGTTCACCAATTATCAGCTTTTGCACCTGCTTATGGTTTGATAGAAAAGAAATTTGGTGAAATTGAGGAGAGGGTACATGAGATCGAATTCACTTACGAGCCTTGGAAGGGTATTGAATTCCAAATCATGTATATAGAAGTGATAGCGGGAAAGTTAGGCTTTTCTGAAATCATCTTGCTTTTTTTTACTTCCATTGTCGAAGTGGAACAACTTTTTTTATTTAGGTGTTATTACTATCAGGCTTCTTCAACTTTCTAGGATGTCTCTGAGCAGTTTAATCCCATAAATTGGGTGTACAATATGCTGTATAAGGATAACCTTGTAAATTATATACTTCTAATTGTTACTTGAGAATTGATAATTTCATTCAACTGAAATAGAAATTTTTGGTATTGAGCTTAAAATGCAGTTAACCAGGTTTTAGTGCATGGTTGTCATCCTGTGCTTTCTCTTACTATTTAATGCATTCTTCATGTTTATGGAAAACTTTGACCCTACAACGTTTCAACTTTTTCTAACCCCAAGGACTATGATACGTGCTATTGTTCATTACTAGTATTAAATGAATAGATAATTTTGTGCGACTAAATTTCTTTTTCATTAAGCTAAAACAAGTAGCAGACTTAGATATACACAATATGAATAAACATCTTGAACTTAAATTCCTAGGATATGAAATATGTCCAATGCGGGTTTCAGTATCTCGACGATGGCCTAACGACAACTATCGGACTTCTAACATTGTGTTTAGAGTCATTCCATTCGAGTAATGCAGATAATATCAGTGTCTCCTGCGGCATTGGAGGCCCCTTCAGGACAACCTTAAATGACAGTTCTTGGTGCGTCTGAGTAAAAGTCAATGTATTTGGGATAACCTCCACAGAAAGACCCTTAGGCGCTGTGACTTTAGCCATGTATGTTGAAGCTCCATATCCTACACTTTTTACAGTCCTGTAAAAAACTGCAGAAATTGTAGAACTGGCACTAAGTAGCTGGATATGCATGGTAGGGTAGTTGATTCCATCCGTGCCCGTTGCTGGTTCAACACCGGAGCAATTGAAACTCTTGGTTCCAATCAGGATACCAATGTTTGTGCTGTTGTAGCCTTCCTTGCAAAGGAAGGCAATATAGGAGTTCATTCTAATGTCATAAACTAGGCCAGGATGCAATGCTTTTACTGGGCTAATCTGTCCTGACCCTATTCCCAGTTCTGTGAAACTGTCGCTGGCTTTGACTTTTATAGGAGTTGCTGAATCAAAGAGATGAAAATGTTAGATTTGAAAAAGAAAATTTTGTTATATACTTCAAAAACTTATCATGGTTATAAAAAACAGTCACTTTATGATCGTTTATATTATTAAATACAGCCGATGCAACAACAATCGCGTTACCAGTGGTCATGAGGGCAGATTTAATTGCTGCAGGAGTCCAGTCTGGATGAAAGGATTTAACATAAGCAGCAGCTGCAGCTGCATGTGGACAAGCCATGGATGTTCCTGATATTATATTAAAAACATTATAACGCGTGTCTTCGGAATACCCTGTTACTGATGTCAATTTGGAATAAGCTGCTAGTATGTCCACTCCCGGGGCAGCCAAGTCAGGCTTCACATAAAATGTAAACATTTTAGAAGACAATTGAAATGCAAACAACACAAGGGAGTAACAAGAGAGAAAATTGATCACCTTGAGGATGTTACGATTGATATGTTGCGGACCTCTAGATGAAAAAGAAGCAAGATATGGAGCAGGAAATTTTTTAGTTACTGATTTGTATATCACAGCTTGAGGATTCCTAAATTTGAAATCATCCAGATATTTCTTCAGGTTAGTTAATTTACTTTCCAAAAATGATCAGGTAACTTAGTTAGGGTATAGTGAAAAGGAAAGTGAAAGAATTTACTTAGTGGAATTAATATAGATTTCAATGTTTTTGCCTACTGTATTCATATCAACAATTGCCGCTGCAATAACTGTGGTGTAGGAACCATCTTCTTGCTCTTCATCTCCTATAATGGTTCCTGCTCCTCCTAACTCCTTAATTACTACGTCCTGGTTGCCAGTGCCCCCAGCACAATACACTATCCTTCCCATCACCTTATCCTTGCTTAGAGTCCCGTACTCACAGCCTCTACATCATAACCATCATCATTACTTCAAAACTTCAAAATCTTCTCAAGAAGTTATAAAATATAGCAAGAAATTAAGGATAATAACAGTACTTAGGATATCCATATTCGTTTCCACTAAGGTTAGCAGCAAGAAGTCCACTAGTCAGGGGATACATCTTTTTCTCAGGGGAGAAGGTGTTGATAGATAGTCCCTACAAAGTACTAACCAAAATAAGCAAGCTGTTTGTAACATTGTAACAAGTTAACCTTTTGTTTTTAGTACTACTTTCAATATTACTTACCGTAACACGTTTTCCATCACCAAAGGCTACTTGTGTCGTAAACATTCTATTAACGGTGGAAGCAGCAACTGTCAAAATCCAAGGAGCAACATTCTCAACAGACCTAGGTCGAGGACCATCATTTCCAGCAGAGCAAGCAGTGAGAACACCTCTTCTCATAGCATGGAATGCTCCAATAGCAATTGGGTCAGAGAAAAACTGACGCGAGGGACCACCAATAGACACTGATATGAGGTTGACACCATCAGCAATGGCTTCATCAAAACCAGCAAGCATGTCCATGTCACTGCATCCAAAGCTCCAACAAACCTTGTATATTGCTATGCGTGCTGATGGGACACCGCCGCGTGCATTGCCTTTGCCAATGCCGTAAAAACTCGCACCCCTCACCACTGATCCAGCAACTGTCGACGATGTGTGAGTCCCATGGCCTTGATCATCCGCGGGACTCGGGTTTGGGATGACTGGACCACTTGGGTCGAGGTTGAAATATTTTGCTCCTATCACCTTGCTGCGCAAGTAGACAGCTTAAATCAAATCAACCTTGTATGCAAGCAGTACAATATCTCAACTTTGGGTTACTCTACTGATAAAAGTAGAAGCAGAAGAATACTTGTTGCAGCCAGTGAAGTTGGCTCCCGTTACACACTTGCCTTTCCATCTCCGCGGGGGAGGTCCTAACCCGGCGTCATTGAAACTGGGACAATCAACCCAAATACCTGTTTACATATTTCATCATTTATTTACTATAATTATCAGAGAAATGTTAATTTAATTTATATATACCCGTGTCTAATACGCCCACGATGATGTTACTTTCTATATTGCTGTTTCTCTTCACTTTCAGGGGCATTCCCATGAAATCCCAAGACCTTGTTGTATGTAGTTTATGATACGTATTTCTAAACACAGATACCACGTTTTCCTCCTCTGCATTCAATTTAAATAAATGTCAACATTCGATATATGCATCATCATATTTATTATTCTTATGGTTCTAAATATAAGAGACAACTGAGTCAACAAAATGTTCGGTTCCAGCCGGTACCTTGCAATTTCTGTGCTTCATGTGGCAAAAGTCGTGCAACGAATCCATTGAAGCTCTTTCCGTAGCTATGTATTTTTGATTCTCTAGCTAACTGCTTGCTGCATGATGATGAAGTGTTATCAACTACGCAGAATCCACTCCCTAGAATCTTATATCAGAATTTAATCTTATTTAACTATATATAAGTTTGTGCAAATATTACAATGTAGTGTCCAACATAACTCGGATACATTCTATTATGTTCAATTTATTTATTTTCTTAAATTTTTATCGGGGTCGACATGTTAGGTGTCGATGGTCTCCATTATTATTAACTAACGTAGGTAATAATATGTATTCGGATCTGAGAATTGAAATCATTACTTTCCAATCGCAGACTCCAATATGTTATGGTGGTGTTGTTCCATAGTAGTATACGTTCTTGCAGCTGGTAGTGCTCCCATGTATACAATATATGGCTGTTTATTAGTCACAAAATTCACATCAATTATTAAGAGGGTAAGAACATGCATAAATTAATCTTATATGTGAATCATAAGATAAATAATAACGTGTAATATGGTGTGTTAATAATTTTTTTTAAAGTTGCAGCGGCATCAATTCACATTGCAACTGCTGCGATCACTATATTGCGGCAATTTCGCAACCATATCGCGGCAATTTAAAACCATGTTTATAACAATAATTCCTTTAAGCAGTAGTGATGAGTTTAGATGTTAAACTCTTTCATTAGTGTATACCTTTCTTTCATGTTGATTTGATCCTTGGATCAGTATAGGAAAACAGTGGAGAAAGATGGGTAGTAGAAGTAGTAGTAACCAATTTTGTAACATTTTAATGGCATTACTCATTCTCTAACATACACTATAGTGTTTTTATGTGAAAGAAAAATAGTGTTTGTTGACATAAATAGAGTGTAAAACTTTGTTGTTTCATTTATAATGTGCCTAGCGTATATTATGTAAGAATGCGAAATGAGTGACATTTTGGGATAGGGGCAAAAAGGGGAGTCCAGGGACTTGGTATTTGGTGGCTTGAATTTTGGATCTTTAAACAAGTCAAGACTAGTACCAATTTTCTTTGATTAATGCAGTACATATTGTATTGTAACAGTTTATTACAAGTGATTTATTAACTAAAAGAAATATCATTACAAGTAAAAAAACCGACTTATACTCTCCATTACATCCCACGTAATTTTATAATTTTAAAAGTGTGATTGTTAACAATTTAAATCAAATTTAGTACAAAATTTTTGATAGACAATTCAAAAGTTTCGGTATCACTAAAACTTTTAATATTGTATTCATAATTTCTGATATCAGAATTTCTAAATATTTAGGGAGTACATTTTTATCGGTAATTTTAAAAAGTGTCGTATTTTATCGGAAGTTTTAACCAAAATGAAATTTTTGGTAGTTTAATTTTATGTTATTTTAAATGGTGAGGATTTTGCTAACATTTGTGGACAGATGTGATTGCACCGACTGCTTTGTGTG